TGACTGAGCAGGGGGTTGGACTAGATGACCTCCAGGGTCCCTTCCAACTTTATTATTATTATTATTATTATTATTATTATTATTATGAATATTACTGTACTTTTGTGCAAGAGGCACAATTTCCATCTGTTCCTTTGTGGCTATAGCAGATGGCGAGAATCCAGTTCAGGGGTCCTCAAACTTTGGCTAACTTGCGCACTTGCGGACTTCAACCACTTGCGGACTTCAACTCCCAGAATTCCCCAGCCAGCCAGGCTGGCTGGGGAATTCTGGGAGTTGAAGTCCACAAGTCTTAAAGTGGCCCAGTTCGAGGACCCCTGATCCAGTTCCTCCATCTGTTGCTTTCCTTGAACCCCCCCCCCAAACGAGTTCTCTTTGCTCGCTGCATTCTGTGGGGTGAAGCCAGCCCCAAAGTGCCTTTTTTTCCTTTTTTTCAAAATTGCTCCAACCCCCTCCCTCGCAGAACACTCACAGGGACCCCCCCCCTTGCAGCAGGAGGCAGCCGTTCCACAGGTTCAGCACTCACCACACCTAGCAAGGTAAGGAGAGGGGGAAGCTCTACCTGTTGAACATCAGCTTTCTGCTGAGCCAGGAAGGGAGGCCCTGATCTAATGTGGAGGGTAGGTGGAGGGGGGGGTCGCAGAACCCTGGTGGGGAGGGGGGCGTCTTCTCTGATCAGCACATGCTCTCCTCCATCTGGTCTTTATTAAAAGTCTCTGCAAAATACACATTCCAGAGTTTAACCCTTGCCGTGCCAGGGGTGGGCAAAACCAGCAGCCCATCACCCCTTTTTCAAAAAAATACCTCAGTTTTTTTTTAAAAAAAAAAAAATCCAGGAAAAAAGAAACACCTTTTCTTTGGAGCCTTCTCCTCTATCCCTCCTTCCCCCCCCCCATTTATACCTCCCCACTTAAATCTGGGAAGGAGTGGGGGGGGGCAATAGAAGGGAAGGCAAAACTTGTGATAAAGTGGGGTGTGTTTCTTTTAAAGGGTTTAAAGGGAGGGAACGAGGCAGGAATGCTAAGCATGGAACCCTAGATGGGGGGGAAGGGGAGTGACATGCCCCCTTACTCTTAAAACTCTTTTTTCTCTTTTGAAATTGGAGGTGGGGTTCGCAGAGAAAATCAGAAGGGTCTGGAAAAGAGCCCCACCGCCCGAAATAAAGCTTAGTTCTTCTCCATTGACAGCCTGCCAGTTTTTCTCCCGGATTTCCTGAGATCTTTCCTAGCCCTTCCCAAACTCCTGCAAAGGGTTAAATTTTTGGGGATTTAAAGGGGGGGAGTTAGAAGCCCCGCATCAATTTAGAGGTTTCCCCCCCACCCACCCGCCAGCCCAAGGGGGCTGGACCGAGCTTGGCAGAGTCAGGAAACAGCGAAATTTAAGACAATTGTGACTTTCTTCTTGGTTTGTTTTTTTTTTTTCTTAGAGAGGTGCAAACACAGGCCAGATGGGGAGTGTAGGGTGCTGGGAACTCAGAAAAGGGGTTAGTTTGCTAATCAGGGTCAGAGGCTCAGTGCAAGCTGAAAACTTCAGGCATCCTGGCTGGGGAAACAAGCAAGAAACTTTGTGCCTTCGGATCAGGAAAAGTCCAGAAAATTAGGGCCATGAGCACTGCATAAAATTCGACGTACAGGTAAATCCCCCACTTACGACCGCAACGGAGCTCCAGATGTCCCGTTGCTAAGGGAGACATTTGTTGAGTTTTGCCCCAGCTCTCTTGCCAACAGTTGTGAAGCGGATCATTGCAGTTGTTAAGTTAGGAACACCGTCATTAAGCGAACCTGCAGAAGGGGACACGGCGACCGTCGTAAATACGAGCCAGTGGCCAAGGGTCTGAATTTTGATCACGTGACCACGGGGAGGCTGTAACAGTTGTAAGAGTGAAACACAGCCGCAAGTCACTGTTTTCAGATAGTCACGAAAAGAACTGTTGTAAATTGAGGACAACCTGTATTGCTGAGAATCGAGCTCTAAAAAGAAGCTATAGTCGGACACAAACTGCATGTGGTTGTGTGTATGTGTATGTGTGTGTGTGTGTGTGTGTGAGAGAGAGAGAGAGAGAGAGAAAGAGAAATAAAAAGAGAGAAAAAGAGAAAGAGAGAAAAAGAGAAAGGAAGAAAGAGAAAGAAAGAAAAAGAAAAAGAGACAGAGAGAAAGAGAGAGAAAGAGAAAGAGAAAAAAGAGAGAAAGAGAAAGAGAAAGAAAGAAAGAAAAAGAGAAAGAAAAAGAGAAAAAGAGAGAGAGAGAGAGGAAGAGAAAGAGAGAGATAAAAAGAGAGAGGGAGAGAAAAAGAGAAAGAGAAAAAAGAGAGATAAAAAGAGAAAGAGAGAAAAAGAAAGAAAGAAAGAAAGAAAGAAAGAAAGAGAGAGAGAGAGAGAGAGAGAGAGAAAGAGACAGAAAGACTGTGTCTATCTGTGTCTGTATGTCTGGCTATTTGTGTTTTACAAATTTCCCTGGTACTCTTGAACGCTTCACCCCTTGCACATCTTTGCACGCAATCACACCAACAAAAAAAGCCTGTTGTGAAACTTGCAGCTTTCCCCCTTTCAAGTTATGGGGCAGGGGTGTGTGTGTGGGGGGGGATGTTTCGTAAGCCCTCCCCTCCCAGTCCTGATGCTGAAGGGAGGTGACCCTATAAACAAAAAGAAGAAGCAAACCACCAAAGCAAAGCAGAACGACAGTTTAAACAAACGTCCTTATTTACTGTCTTCCCAACCAGAGGAAGAAAAGATTTTGAAGATAGTAGGTATGTCAGCAGCTGGAAAGTTCTGGAAACAACCAGCATCTTCTAATTATCTTAAAATTAAAGGCTTGGCGGAGAGACACACATGCATTTTCGCTATGCTTTTCCAATCCTTTTACTGCTCAGACCACAAAACTTTACACGCTATCTTTCTATATCTCTCCCTTCCTGTCCGTTTCAAGCTCTTTTTCCATTAACCTGTTATTAGTTTTCCTGTTTTTACAGTACAAAGGACCCTTTGCAATGCAATCCTCGGCTGCATTAACAGAGGGATAGAATCAAGATCACGACGTGTTAATGCTGCTTTACAAGGCCTTAGTAAGGCCACACTTGGAAGATTGCATCCAGTTTAGGTCACCAATATTATAAAAAAGATGCTGAGACTCTAGAAAGAGTGCAGAGAAGAGCAACAAAGATGATTAGGGGACTGGAGGCTAAAACATAAGGAACGGCTTCTGGAATTGGGTGTGTCTAGTTTAATGAAGAGAAGGACGAGGGGGGACATGATAGCAGTCTTCCAGTATCTCAGGGGCTGCCCCAAAGAGTCAAGCTATTCTCCAAAGCACCAGAGGGCAGGAGAAGAAACAATGATTGAAAACTGATCAAAGAGAGAAGCAACCTGGAATTAAGGAGAAACTTCCTAACACTGAGGACAATTAACCAGTGGAACTACTTGCCTCCAGAAGTTGTGGGTGCTCCATCACTGGAGGTTTTTATGAAGAGATTGGACAACCATTTTGTCTGGAATGGCATAGGCGCCATAAGGTCTCCTGCCTGAGCAGGGGGTTGGACTAGAAGACCTCCAAGGTCCCTTCCAATTCTGATGATGTTCTACGTTCTACTTGTTCTATGTTCTCTGCAAACAACAGGCTTTCTTAAACTTTTAATTGCACCCTTCAGGCTGCTTTTAGTGTTCCCGTCTAGGTGGCTAGTCCTCATGACTCTCAGATAGAACCGCATTTTTCCTCTTTCCCAACCCTGAATTAAAGCGACTTTGTCTTCTTAATCCAATTGGCACTTCTTTAAATGGGGGGGAGGTCATAAATGGGGGGGAGGTCTGAGAATGGTGGGAGGCACCATTTAACCTTTTCAAGCTAAAAAAAGGCAGTGGTTAAAATTCACTGAATTGTATTCCTTGTCCCTTTTACCCCCCCCTTTCTCACCCAACAAAGGCACGCACATTTTATATTTCTTCCCCCATTTTTTTTTTTTTTTTTACTTCCAGCCCATTAGAAAATCCAGTCCTTTTATTTGACACGCAAAACACACTCACACAATATTCGGGTTCTTTTGGTTTTGTTTCGTTTTTGCTTCATCCAGGAATCTTCCGCCCCACCAAGAAGACCCCATGAGCGGGCAAAGTCAATGACCCTCACCCCCACAGCACGGATGCAGAGGGGTTCCTTCCCCCCACCACCTCCCCGTTTTGCAACGGGGGCAGCCCGCCCTGTCTCCTGCGCGGCCCCACCCACCCCCGGACCGCGCCAAGCTTGTCATTCCCAGATGCTTGGTCCCTAGAGGACCCCCGCCCTCTGCTTCCTCCACAGATTGAAGTGGGGGGGGCGTGAAAAGCCTTCCAGCTTTAGCCCTCCCACCCCCACCCCCACCCCCACCCCCGTTTCGGAAAGTTCCCCCTTCGGCAGCCGACGAAACGCCCATCAACCGAAGTGTGTTTACGGGGCTCTGTCCCACCAGAGTTTGTTTTTTTAAAAAAGTTTTTAACAAGCCCCCCCCCCGCGCGCGCCAAGTTCGGAGTGGGAAAAGTCACCCTGAGCTGTGCGGATCCGTGGTTTGACTCCAGATGAAAAAGAGCTGGCGGGGGAAAGAGGGGGGGGGGAAATCCGGTTTCTTCCGAAGCCATGAGGACTAGAAACTTAAGTCTCCTGGTTGGGCGCTGGGCAGACGAAGTCGTCTAAGGTTTCAACCCCTGCCCCCCAAACACACACACACACTGTCCAGAAAGTCGCTGCCCGTTTTGGATGAAGCCTCTCCAGGCTTCCAGCAGCCCCGGGTCTCAAGGCAGGGGGTGCCAAGTTGCAATGGGCAGGGGGCTTCTGCGCCCCCACCCCACCCGTGCCAAAAAGGGGAAAAAAGTCTTTTTAACTCCAGCAACCAAGTTTTTTTTTTTTTTGCCTCGCCCCGACGCCAATCACGAGTCTGGGAGAATGGGGGGGGGACCCCAGCCTTGGGCGCCCCTCCAGCTGGGTCTCTGCATCCTGGCAGAGGGTGGCTTTGGCCCCGCTGGTGAGCAGGGGGGGGTCTTTCCTGTCCTGTGCCCACCCGGCCAGGGAGCAGGGCCCTCGCCCCCTCCCCTCCCCCGGCGCTGGCCCCGTGCTTCAGACACTGGTCCGGCAAGTGGCCGGTTGGCAAAGCCGGGACGAGGCGGGCGGGGCCGTTTTTTCGGACGTGCTGATCACCCAGCGGTAACACTGAGTCACGCTCCGGCTTTTGGCCCGAGCTCCGCAGCGGGTACAGTAGACGATGCCCAGGGCCAGCATGACCACCAAGAAGACGGAGATGGGCACCAGCAAGGCCACCAGGAGCCACCGGTCATCCCTCTTCGGCCGCCCTTGCCCCCCCTCCTCCTCCTCGGAGGCCGGGCCGGGGGTGGCGAAGGTGGGCAGGGGCGCCCTGACTCCTTCAACCACCGGCTCCACTTTCTCCTCCGAGGGAGCGGACGCCCCGGGAGGCGGCGGCGGGGTCGTCCGGGGCTCCCCCGGGACCCCAACAGGCAGGGACCCAACGCTGCTCGTCAAAAGAAGAGGAAGCCGGGACGCGGCGGGGGTGGGATGGAGGACCTCGGGCTGCCCCGGCGAGGCCCCCGCGCGCTCCAAGGGAGAATTGTCCCAGGCGCTGTCCAACTCGGGGGCCGTGGCGGCTGGTCCCGGCGGGGGAGGGAAGACCAGCCGGTCGGGCAGCGACAAGAAAGAGGCGGCGGATTCCGACGAGCCGGTCTCCCCGTCGCGGAAGAGCGAGAAGCGGACCGGCGGGGCGCTGGGCTCGTCCGCCTGGCGGGTGGTGAAGCGCACGTGGAAAGGGTCGACCCACAGCTCCGGCGGGGTGGCGTCGGGGCCGGCGGGGGCCAGCCCGTCCAGCGGGCTGCAGCTGATGCCGTCGGCTTCCAGGTCGAAGCCCTCGGTGCAATAGCACTCGAAGCCTCCCACGTAGTTCACGCACATCTGCTGGCACACGCCGGGGATCTGACACTCGTCCGTGTCCACGCACTGGCCCGGCTCGTCCTCGGCCGGGCTGAAGCCCAGGTGGCAGCGGCAGAGGTAGGAGCCCTCGGTGTTCTCGCACTGGTGCTCGCACGGCGCTTCCAGGCACTCGTCCAAGTCCTCGCACCGGTGGCCGTCGGAAGCCAGCTCGTAGCCGGCCGGGCAGCGGCAGCGGTAGCCGTCTCCGCTCTCCTCCTCTTCCTCCGCTTCCTCGGCCACGCAGTCGAACTGGCAGGGCCGGTGGCGGCAGGGGTCGCGGGCGGCGCAGGAGCGCCCGTCGGGGAGCAGCGCGAAGCCGGCGTGGCACTCGCAGGCGTAGCCCGAGCCCTCGTCCAGGCACAGCTGCTGGCAGCCGCCGTTGTCCCCCTCGCACCAGCTGGACGCCGACGCCGAGGCGGCGGCCGAGGACGAAGCCGACGCGGCCCCCGACGGCTCCCGACACAGCGGCCCGCTCTTGGACCAGCCCGCCCGCCCGTCCTCCTTCTGCAGGCACAGCAGGGACAGCGAGGCGCCGCCGGGACAGCCCACCGACGCCACCGTCCCGAAGGGCACGAAGCGCGGCGGCGGCGCCCCGACGGCGGCGGCGGCCAGCGGCCCGAAGGGCGCCGCGTAGCGGAGGGCGACCGCTTCCCCCTCCTCCAAGCCGGCGCACATGCCTCGGAAGGCGAAGCGGCAGAGGTAGCCGTCCACCGGGCCGGCGCACGAGCCCTCCAGCCACTGGAAGTCGCGGTCGTCTAAAGCCACGCAGCGCGGCGCGGCGCAGCCGGCTCCCGGGGTCCCGACGGCCGGGCCGGCCCGCGCCCAGTTGCTGTAGGCCGTCTCCTGCTCGCCGGTGACCCAGCTGAAGCCGCGCAAGGGCCGCTGCGGGAAGCACTGGCGCGGCTGCCGCTGCAGCCCGATCCAGAAGAGACGGGGCGGGCCGGGCCGGCGGCTCCCGGCCAGCAGCTGGCTGACCTGGGCCGCCTCTTCGGCTCGCTTCAGCGTGGCCAGGTTGCCCCCCAGCTCCCGGCAGGCGCGCCAGGCGTCGAGGAAGCTGCGCGGCTGGCTGTAGAGCGCGTAGCAGCCGTCGGGGTCGCAGCTGGCTTCGGGATCCGGCCGGACGGGCAGCGGCAGCTGGAACAGCTGGAGCAGCAGCAGCGGCGGCAGCAGCGGCAGCAGCCCCACCGGGCCGAGCGGCAGCCGCGGGGCCAGCATGGTTGTGCTGCGCGGTGGGCCTCCGGCGCTCTGACAAAGCCGCCGCGGAGCCCCCCCACCCCACCCACCCACCCATTCCCAGCCTCTTTCCCCCTCCCCGTCCGGGGAGGAGGCGCTGGGCTTGCCCGATCCCCGCCTTCGGCCCTTGTAGGGCGCGGATTTGAACTCCTGCCACGCGGGGAGGAAGGGATGGAGGGGAAGGGGGGGGGCAGCCAGCCGGCGCTGGAGAAAAGGGGAAGGGAAAGGCAGGAAGCAGGCTAAGCGGAGAGGGTCGGCCCGCCTCCCCCTCCCCAACTTGCGGGGTCCCGCTGGGCGAGGGGGAAGCGGCTGCGGGGCCTTGGCTGATCTAACCGCTCGACCGCACTGTCGCTGGGACCTGGAGGGCCTTTCGGGGCTTCCATCCTTTAATTTCAGTCCCTGCCCGCCCCCCCCCCCGACGCCAGGAGAGCTTTACAAGATAATGGAGGAGGGGGTCCGTGTGTGTGTGTGTGTGTGTGTGTGTGTGTGTGTGTGTGTGTGTGTGTGTGTGTCCTGGCTGGGCTTCCGAAACTGGAGATGTTGAGGGGCTGCCACAGAGAAGAGGGGGGGGGTCCACCTATTCTCCAAAGCCCCGGAGGGAAACTAATCCAGGAGAGAAGCAACCTAGAACTAAGGAGAAACTTCCTGACAGTGAGAACAATTAACCAGCGGAACTCCTTGCCACCAGAAATGGCGGGTTTGCTCCATCGCTGAGGAGACTGGACAGCCGTTTGTCTGAAATGCTACAGGGGTCTCCGGTTGGAGCAGGGGATTGGACTAAATGACCTCCCATCCAACTCCGTTATTCTGTGTTTTGGGTGGGGTTTATTGTACCCGGAGAAGTTAAGAAGAGCTGGAGGTGGGGGGGGGGGAGGGAGAGAGAGAGAACATCAGCTTGAGACCCTTGGGAAGCAGTAAGCCATGATTAGCAGGACAACTGAGTTGAAGTCTGTTGCTGAGCCGCAAACAAGCCAGGCAGTTGCCTTCAAACCACATCTGTTGGAGAAGGAAGCTGTAAGCCAAAACTCTCACCCACCCCAGACAAGATGGTTAAAAACAATTGCTGGGGGGGGGGCAAGAGAAGGGGAGAGACATTATTTGAGAATGCACTGGGGTTTCACCTACTATTCCCCAGCCCCCACCCCATGATACCCCTGGTTGAATTCCAGCAGAGTTAAGATTCCCAGCGGTAATGCAAAGCTGGTTTTGCCTGCTGCCTTTGGGGTGGCTATGAAGAGAATAGGGTAAATCAGGGTTTCTCGATCTGGGAGACATGAAGATGGGTGGACTTCATCTCCCAGAATTCCCCGGCAAGTAGGTTTGCCTGGGGATTCTAAGAATTGAAGTCCGTGTATCTTAAAGCATGCTGGCTGGGAGATTCTGGGAGTTGAAGTCCACCCATCTCAAAGCGTGCTGGCTAGGGGATTTTGGGAGTTGAAGTCCACCCCTCTTAAAGCATGCTGGCTGGGGGATTCTGGGCGTTGAAGTCTGTCCAGCTTAAAGAATGCTGGCTGGGGGATTCTGGGAGTTGAAGTCCACCCATCTTAAAGCATGCTGGCTGGGGGATTCTGGGTGTTGAAGTCCACCCATCTTAAAGCATGCTGGCTGGGGGATTCTGGGCGTTGAAGCCCACCCATCTTAAAGCATGTTGGCTGGGGAATTCTGGGAGCTGAAGTTCCTGAATCTTAAAGTCGTCAAGGTCAAGAAACACTGGGATAAAGAAAACCGTACAAACCTGACTTTGCACTAAGCTGTGTTTGCATGCCTCCCCCTGCCAAAATTCCCCTACTACAAGCTACCAGCCTCTGCCAAGGATTCCACTTCACAAATTCCATCTGCTCTGCTTGTTAACTGGCTCAGAGGCTTAATATCTTGCGTTCATGCCGTGTCTATCATACCTGGGCATCAGCTGGGAAATAAGCAGGACTGAAAAAAACGGTGAAGAAAATGCATGTGATCAATCTGAAGAGGGACCGACTCTTGTAACACTCACAAAACACACACACACACAAACACACACATGCTGGGCTTTGCAGTTTGCTTTGGCAAGCTCTGAATTCAATCTCAAGCCAAGAACCCCGTCATGCATCCAACCCCATTCTGCATAGGTAAAAACAAAGCATCTCTGGCACGGGATTTGGAGATTTTGGAGACACGTCCATGTATTTTTTTTGGCAAGGGGCAAATTGGCTTGGGTCTCTGCCCAACAGACTACATTTCACTTGGATTAAAACCGCACCACACAATCACCAGGGCCTACAGCAGGATGGGTGGGCCGTCCCAAAGAGGAATTAAGCAACAAAAAGCTTCTTCCATCCTAAAACACCCCTCTAAATTTCAGGGTAATTAATCCAGGATTAAGCTGGGCTGGGAAAAAGTCTCTTGTCTTGATCTGCTGGAGAAAAATCCGGGCTCTATTTTACTGCCAAAGTTTTCCTAAACTTTTCTGCCCAGGTTGTTGTGACAAGATAATGCCTTGCCCATCCTGCTTAATGTTGCTTTTTTTATATTTTTTTTAATGCCATGGGGGTCAAGGAAGGGCAGAAAAAAAAAAGAGCGACTCAAAGAAATTGGAGAGGGATTTTCTATCTCACTGGAGATGAAGTAGAAAAACAAGCCCCTTTTTCAGGAAGATGATTTTTTTTTTTTACATCGTTGTAAAGTTGAGTTTTTGCACAGCGTGACCGGGAACCGCTGCTGACCAGATGTAGCTCAGCTACTGAATTTAATCACAGTCTGTAAAATCTGAACGTGATAAGAGGCAAAACCCGTTGGGAAGCTGATGCCTTAAACTGCAAAATGGAGAATCAAGAAGGCAGGACAAGAAGCAAAGGATGGAAACTGATCAAGGAGAGAAGCAACCTAGAACTAAGGAGAAACTTCCTGACAGTGAGAACAATTAACCAGTGGAACAACCCACCTCCAGAAGCGGTGAATGCTCCAACACTGGAAGTTTTTAAGAAGAGACCGGACAGCCATTTGTCTGAAATGGTGTAGGGTTTCCTGCCTGAGCAAGGGGTTGGACTAGATGACCTCCAAGGTCCCATCCAACTTTTTTATTGTTATTGTTGTTGTTATATTAAAACAAACCCAACAGTGTTTCATTAGTCTAGTCCAGGGGTAGGCAACCTTGGCGCTTTTATGACTGGTGGACTTCAACTCTCAGAATTCCTGAGCCAGCATGAGGGAAACTTTGGCCCCCTCATGACTTGTGGACTTCAACTCCCAGAATTCCTGAGCCAGCAAGGCTCAGCTTGGAAACCTCTCCCTTTCCCCTCAGCATGGCTGGCTCGGGAATTCTGGGAGTTGAAGTCCACCAGTCATAAAAGAGCCAAGGTTGCCTACCCCTGGTCTAGTCTAACCAAGAAAAGGCCTAGTGGTGACCTGATAGCAATATTCCAATATTTGAGGGGCTGCCACAAAGAAGAGGGGTCAACTTATTCTCCAAAGCACCAGAAGGCAGGAGAAGCAGCAACAGATGGAAACTAATCAAGGAGAGAAGCAACCTGGAAGAAACGTGGCTTTGCCAGGGAGAAGATTCATGAAGCCTTCATTCTGGCCTCCACCCGTCCATTTTTCTTTGTTTGGGTGGCTCTGCAGCTTCGCTCTCTTTTATACGCCCCATAGAGAGCCCTGTTGCTGCTCTCTCCAGATGGGCCCACTTTATTTCTATTTATTTCTTTGTCAAGCTCCAAAAGCCGTCCAAGTTTACAGCGACCAAGCTGCGTATGGTCTTTTAAAACAACAAGGATGCTCCAGAGGCTGGAGGGCTTGAGCCAGTCGTCAATATGTGCCCTCAACACCCTCCTATTTCCCAAAGGACAAAACATTCCCTAACTGGGGGGGGGGGGAAGGGAGAAGAGCCAACTCTCCAAAGGACAGCCTTCTGGAACAGCCAACCCCCCTCCGAGATTTGAGCAGGGTAGGGGTAATCTCAGCGGGCATGGCAGCTGTTCCGGGAGCTGGCACTGTAGGGCATCACTCCTTTCAGTCAATGGGACCCGAAGCATGCCAAATCTTTCTTTCTTTCTTTCTTTCTTTCTTTCTTTCTTTCTTTCTTTCTTTCTTTCTTTCTTTCTCTTCTTCCTTCCTTTCCTTCTTTCCTTCCTTTTCCTTCCTTCCTTTCTTTCTTTCCCTCCCTCCCACCTTCCTTCCTTCCTTCCTCCTTCCTTCCTTCCCTTCTTTCTTCTTTCTTTTCTTTCTTTTTCATTTCCTGCCTTTATTATTTTGACAAATAACTCAAGGGGTGGCGAACATAGCCAATATACTTTCCTCCTATTTTCCCGTCAACAACAACCCTGTGAGGTGAGCTGGGCTGACAGAATGGGATTGGCCCAAAGTCACCCAGTTGGTTTTCATGCCTAAGGCGGGACTAGAACTCACCGTCTCCTGGCGATTGGCCCAAAGTCTCTTGGCTTTCAAACCTAAGGCGGGACTAGAACTCACCATCTCCTGGCGATTGGCCCAAAGTCACCCAGCTGGCTTTCAAACGTAAGGCGGGACTAGAACTCACCGTCTCCTGGTGATTGGCCCAAAGTATCTTGGCTTTCAAACCTAAGGTGGGACTAGAACTCACCATCTCCTGGTCATTGGCCGAAAGTCACCCAGCTGGCTTTCAAACGTAAGGCGGGACTAGAACTCACCGTCTCCTGGCGATTGGCCCAAAGTCACCCAGCCGGCTTTCATGCCCGAGGCAGGACTAGAACTCACCGTCTCCTGCTCAACTCCCCCCCTTCCAAAGCAGACAGATCTAATCAGCCTGCTGTTTCGTTCATTGCTGCTTCTGGAGCGTGTTTTGACAACCTGCCATCTTAGGCTGCGCATATCTTAAACTAAACAAGTCATTGGCTGTGAAATCACCCAAGTGAGAATAAATTCTTTTGCCGAAGGGGGGGGGGGAAGAAAGGAAATGGAAGGGACTCTCAAGCCGACGGGCTGAGCATTCCGTCACGTTTGGGGGCTCAGCTGGAGCGTTGCTGCTGACCAGTTTCCGCTTGAATGAC